GAGAGCAGCGCGAGCAGGAATGGCCAGGACTAACGCCCAGCGACCCCGTTTCAATCCCAGTTTTAATTAAGTACAAGCCATCCCCAGCCAACCTGGCCACTGCCTCCCCGCCAGCCAGACCAGAGACCCCAGCTGCCCATGAGGACGCCCCTCGCTGCAGAGCCTGCTGCCTCTGGGGCCTGGCCGGGGCGTCGGATGCCTGGGTCCGGCGATCTGCCTGGGAGGCAGTGTCCCCTAGTGGCTAGCTCAGCCCCATACAGCCGGGTCCGGGGCCCCCAGGACACAGGGCCTCCGCTCCCTTCTCCCTCTGCCTGCATCGGGAACATTCAGTGTTGGGGAGGATTTCTGTGGAGTCTCCGTTACTAATAACCCTCAGTCCACCCAGGGCTGCCACCCCCATCATCAAGCCCACATTTGTCCCTAACAGTCCATCACATGCTGTCTATGCAGGTAAACACAGGCTCTCAGGAAAAGGGGACCTGGCATCCCAGGCCTAGGGAGCCCACTCTCCCAGAGGCCCCCTACAAGGACAGGCAGAGGGTACTTGAGGCAGACTCAGGAGGCCAGAAAGATCAGAGGTGGATGGGCTGGCAGAGACCCAGGGAAATAGCCCACCGGCCCCGTACCAGCCAGGGCCTCCAACCCCTCAGCCCTGCTGCCACGGGGTCTCCCTGCAGCCCTCTCGTCCATCTGCCCTCCAGGCCCTTGTTTCTGTCCCCACCCTTCCCCAGCTCCAGCTCACGCTTCACATCTTAACTCAAGCACCCGCTTCTCTGGGAAGTTCCCCTCAGTCCCACCTCCCAGTAGGCCCTCTGTTACCTGACCTCACCACTTTGCACCCTCGGACCCAAGGCTTCACAGGGAAGGAGGTCTCACTGATATCTGACACCACATCAGTCAGATGTGGAAGCGCCTGAGGGCAAGATACCCGCTGCTTTTGCTCCTCACTTTTTTTTTTTTTTTTGAGACGGAGTTTCGCTCTTGTTACCCAGGCTGGAGTGCAATGGCGCAATCTCGGCTCACCGCAACCTCTGCCTCCCGGGTTCAGGCAATTCTCCTGCCTCAGCTTCCTGAGTAGCTGGGATTACAGGCACGCGCCACCATGCCCAGCTAATTTTTTGTATTTTTAGTAGAGACGGGGTTTCACCGTGTTGACCAGGATGGTCTCGATCTCTTGACCTTGTGATCCACCCGCCTCGGCCTCCCAAAGTGCTGGGATTACAGGCTTGAGCCACCGCACCCGGCCCTGCTCCTCACTTTTGTCCCAGAGCCCAGCACTGTGCCTGGCAAGAACTAATGCTCAATAATTATCGCAAGAACGAATGAGCAGGAAAGGAGGGAAGGAGTGAGGGAAGGGAAAACAGAAGAGCCAAGAAGCCAGGGGTACCGGGGGAGCACTGCTGGGCCACCTCATTCATCCTCCTTGGCTTCAGCCTCAGACTCCCAGCCATCCATCCCAGCACTCTCCCGCACCCTCACTGGCCCCCAGCTCTGCAGGGTGGCAGTTTAAAACCCAGGGCTGCAGGAATCCAGCAAAGAACCTCCACAGAGCAAGGAGAGGCCCCCAAACCCTGACAGCATCTGCAGAGCTGCTGACCCTGGGGAGCGGCGGGGGGCCTCGAGTGACAGCAAACAGGCAGACACAGGCCTGCACAAACACAGCCGCTCCGCGCGACCCTCGGTGGTTCCAGCTGCTGCCAGGGAACACCAGGCAGGCTGTCCAGGGAAGGAGGGCAGAACAGGCGCTGTCTTTTCCCCTGCGTCCTCCCTGCCATCCAGTCTGCCCACACCGCAGCCCTGGCCCTCTCAGGGTCACTGTCCCATGGCAGAGGACAGAATGCACCGGCCTTGCGGTCCAGGCAGAGCCTGAACTTTGTTCTCCAGGAGGACAGCACGGGTTCCAGGGAGGGGACCGCCCACCCCTGACCACAGACACAATTAGAGGGCAATTCAACAAGGCCAGCAGCCAGGGCCTGAGCCTGGGCCTCCCAGAGCACTGGCGCTCTTCTCTGCCAGTGAGCACGGAAAGCTACCCCCCGGGGCACTCAACCCCCCCCACCCCACCACACCGAAGGCAGTCAGCACCCTCGCCATGCCCACACCCCTTCTCTTCCACCCATGCTGGCTCGCCAGCACGCCTCCCACACCCCATGCTGGAGGCCCTCCAGCTCCCCCTTGCTCTGGGGCATTTCCCACTGCCACTTGGACCGGGTGCCAGAGCGGATGGCCCCTGCCTGCAGGGCCACATCAATCCTCCCTGCTACCCTAAAGCCTGAAGAAGCTGAAAGCTGTTGGCCCACAGTGACCTGGGGTTGCAGACCAGGCAGAGCTCCACATTGTTAGGCAGGAACTCTGTGCTAGGAACCACGTGCATCACCTCAAAGGGGTGTCTGCAAATGAGGAAGTCGGGTCACCTGCCGAAGGTCAGCAGGCCGGGTAGAAAAGCCCTCCCCCGGAACCGGAAGTCCTTAGGACCCTGCGATGGCATTCTAGGGTCCCAGGAACACCATCAACAGGGATGAGCAGGTTGATACCAGACTCTAGAGCAGATGGGCCAGCACAGCCAGACCCCACACAGTTCCAGACAGGCCCCATCTCAGATCAGGCCAGGTCCAGCCCTGATTCTGGGGATGTCTGGCTGGCTGGGGAGAGGGCTGCTAGCCCCCTGGCTGGAGAGAAATGGCTGTGCCCAGCTGACCCCAGAGGCCTCCTGCACCAGAACAGCCACTTGACAGCTGCCCCCGCACTGGCCTCCGGGCTCTATGCCCACCTCTCCATCCCTCAACACCCAAAAGGTCAGGGCCAACAAGAGCCCCAGTCCTTCTCTCAGCCAACTGCACGGTGAGCACAGGCACCACCTACCCATCTGTGCACCGCCCTTCCCTGCAGATACCCTCTCTGTGGGGCAACTGCTGTAACCCCTGTGCAGGCGAGGAAGCCAATCCCAGAGCGAAGCTGCAGGCCCAGGGTCACCCAGCCAGTGCAACACAGGCTCGGCCACCAGGCCTCCATCTGCACAGAGCTGAGTCTTGTGAGCCAGCGCCCTCCCGGGTACAGCCCTGGCAGCGGGTGACATGGTGGGGTGGCAGCATCCCCTCCCCACCACCTCCTTAGAAATAGGCTGGGCAGATCTCCCAGGGGCTTCCACGGGAGGTCTGGGAGAGGGGGAGGAGGAGGCACAGAGAGGGCACTGCAGCTGAGGGCCAGCGTGAGGACGAAGCCCAATGACAGCACAATGGTCGGGGGGGATCCGACTCCCTGACCCTCCACAGTCCCTGCAGGTACCCTCAGCCCTTGAGATCCAGTCCAGGAGCAGAACCAGTCACAACACTGTCAAATGCACTTACAAAGCAGCCCCCAGCTCAGGCTCAGTAGATGGCACTGTCAACCCCATTTTACCAACAAGGGAAACTGTGGCAGAGAGCAGGAGAGGGACCAATAAACGGTAGAGTGTGATGCACAGATCTAGTGAGGTCTGGCAGGCACAGCTGCCTCCAGCGTGGGCTGTGGAGCCTCCATGCTGGGGTCGGGGTGCTTTTTACTGGAGTGTCCAGTCTCTGTTGGTAAGAACATGGGGCCAGCGGCAGCCCTCAGCTCTTCCTGCCCCTCACACCTACCAGGGTCCCCTCACTGCTGGACAGCGTCCCCTCCCAGGCACTGACCCTGTCAGCTCAGGCCATTTCCATTTTAAACCTTCCGAGGAAGCCCTAAACGGTCGCCCACGGAGTCAGCACCAGCTGACAGGTGATGTCTGCGCCTCTCCTCCTGGGGCTGGCAGGAGAGATGCAGTAGCTTTCGACTCCAGAAACCGGTGCCTAGAGCCCCAGAGTGCAGCTGCCTCCCCAACGGCCACTGGGCAGAGATGGGGTGCCCCAGCCACATCCCTCCACAGTGGCATCGTGGGTCCCCCCACAGGCAGCCTCCTTCCTAAGTCCTGAGCCACCTGGGGAGGGGCTGGTTTCCATCCAACCCGAAAGCATAGGGGCAGCGGTGAGGCAGGGCTGGTCTCAGCCACCCCTGACCTCTGTTCCCAGCCTTGGCAGTATTGATTCACATCAGAACTCTGGCTTGGGCCTCGGGAGCCTGGCACACCCCAGCTGGGCTGTATTCTCTCAAAGCTGCCCACCCTGGAGAGCCTCGAAGGCCTCCGGGGCCACGAGGAAGGCTGTGGCAGCTCCCTGGTGTCCCTGCTCCACAACTTTCTCCTCCTCGGGGAGCTCTGATCCGCCACGGTTCCCTGCAGCTGGGCAACAACACTCCCAAGCCTTCTCCCTGGGGCCTCCTGTGCCCGCAAGGAGGGGCGTGCGCCACCGGGTTGCCTCCTAGTCTTGAGAGCTGGGGGATGGGGGAGTGCCCGCCGCCCCCCGCCCGGGCACTGTGGTCACCGTTCCGGCCACCAGGTGCACGGCCCCAGCCCCTGCCTGGCTCAGGGCTGACAGTCCACAGCGCGCACAGGGAGGGAAGTTGGAGGCTGCTCATGCCCCCCTTGAAGTCGTTTTAAAAATAAAACCTCGCTCCAACCGTGACTCACGCGGCTGGTGGGGACGGGAGCGCGGCGCCCGGGCCGGCCGGCTGTCCCTGGCCGCGCGCCCTCCTCTGGTTCCCGAGAGCGGGAGCTGGGACCCACATGACCGGCCTGACGCCCGCCACGGGCCGGGCCCCCTCCCTGGGGGCGTAGCAAGGGCTTGGGCTAGAGCTCCAGCGGAGCCCCCGCCCTTTCCAGCCTCAGCTCGGGAGAGCAGAGCCGCTGGCCGCGTACCCCGTACCTCCCCCGCGGTGGGGCCAGCGCCACCACCACCGCCACCGGCCCTTGGCTCTTGACTCAGGAACCCCCCAACCCCAAATACCAAAGGCTGAGTATTCTGACTCCCACCGCTCTGGGACAAAGCCAGGCTGCCTGACCCCGCGGAGCCTCAGTGGCCCCGGTGCCCCAGCCCTCGCCCCAGCAACCCGTCCCGGACGCGCAGATCCCGACCCCCGCCCGGTGCAGCCAGCCCTACCTGCGCAGCGGCCCGGGGAGGCGGGTCTCCTCGGGAAACTTTGCGGTGATGGCTGGAGCCTCAGGGGTTATTCCAAGGAGCGAGCGGGAACGGGAGCCGGAGGGCGCCTAGGGGGGCCCAGGAGAGGAGCCCCCCGGCGCACGGCAGAGCACGGTGGCGGGCCCGGAGCGGGGGGCGCGCGGCGGCGCATCTGCCCGGCTCGGGCACCCGGCGGAGCCGGGGGAGGAGTGGGGGGGATGCGCCCGGCGGCGGGGTGCGTGTGCCCAGGCGGGTGCGCTCGGTGGGGCGGGGGTTAATGGTGGTGCCCGCGTGAGCGGAGGTGGTGGTGGTGGCGGCGGCGGCGAGCAGGGCGCGGGGAACCAGGCTGTGCGGCCGCCTCTCCCCTCGCGGCGGCGGCGGGGGCCGTGCGTGCAGGCGCGGAGCAGGGAGGGAGGGGAGGAGGAAGGGGAGGCAGTGAGCGGGGAGGAGGCGGCGGGGGCGGGGGCGCCGCGCTGCGCACTGGCCGGCGGGACCCGGAGCGGGAGGCTGTGCTGCCGTGCGGGGACTCTGGCCCAGCTGAGGAGAAATGGCCTCTGTCGTGCCCCCCTCCGCCGCCCTCGGCTAAACTGGCTGGGGGGAGGGCGGGTTGGGGAACCGGGGAGCCGGCCCCTCTGGGGAGTGGGGGGAGGGAGGCTCCCAAAGCCAGCCTCCAGCGCAGAGGCGGGGGAGAAAGGGGTTCTCGCTCATGCACCGCCTCCCCAACACCCTCCTCTCTGAACCCACTCATTCATCCCTCCAGCCATCCATTCATTCATTCATCCATACACCCATGCATTCATTCACAGAAGGTAAGCACTGCCTACTGTGCATGCCAAGGTAACCCCTTCCTCCCTGCCTGGCACCCCTTCCCTGGGCGGACCCCCTCATCTGCCTTGTGCTGTAAACACCGGGGAGCTCCCCAGCAGTGCCCCTCCCAGCTGCTAATGGGGCACCCTTTCCCGTGCCAGTGCCCCTTCCCATCCCCGGCTGTGACCTTGGCCAAGTCGCTGAACCTCTCCCAGCCTCAGTGTCCTGGATTGTGAAATGGGAGCGTTACTACCTAGATCAAGGGTTACTGAGAGAGATGAAGAAGACCTTGAAGGGGAGGATGGCTAGGCCAGTGCCTGGCACCTGTTAGAGACTGGGGACACGTTCCTGCCTGTGGTATGACATCTGGGTAGGGTGAGGGAGTGTTTAGACCAGCCTCCTCTTAGACTGAAAGTCCCAGTGCCCTTGGCATTCTCTGGGACACTAAGTAAGGGACTCTCCTATACACCCAGCCTGGTCAGACCTCGGCAACTGTCAGTGGCTGCTCTGAGTGAGTCCCAAGCCTGCCCAGAGTGCCCACCAGGACCCCACTGCTCCTGATCCACCCTCAGACTGCCCATGGTCTGGCTGGGAGACCCTCCAATAGCCCTGTTCTGTGCTGTCCATCGAGGCCTACAGGCCATCTCCCCTGTGGGATGCCCTCCCAGATCCCCCTGGGGAGGGTCTCCCCATAAAGACTCCTGCGCTTCTCCCCATCCTTTCCCTGTGCCAACCCATCCCTCTTGCGCTCAGCCTGGGGGTAGACTGGAGCCTAGCCTGAGGCCGCAGCCTCTGTGCGCTCTACACGTGCCTGTCTTTGCCCTTCTTGCCTCTCCCTCCTCACCTCTTCCTTCCAGATTTCCCTCCCCTTAACTCCCTTTCTTCCTTCTCTCGATTTCTACTCAATTCACCAAACAGCTATTTTTTCCTCCCAATTTTTATTTATTGCCCAAACAGCATTATACCAACAATAAAAGAAAGAAAAATCACCCACAATGCCACCGCCCTGTGGCGTCAACAGCTTCCGTTCCTCTGCTCCCTTCCAGGCTTGTCCATGCAGAGACGGCTGTAATTTTTACAGAGCTGTGGTTTCGGTTCCGCCTCCCCAGACCCCCAGATGGACACGAAGCCCCGGGGCTCCGTTGTGCCTCCATCACAGTACTTGGCGTGTGGCACAGGAATTATGTAGCCTTCCTTCTCTTCTGAGCCAAACGCCTTACAGGAGACACCCCTTTCTATTCCTGTCACCCCCATGCCAAGCCACTGAGCTGAAACATAGCGCGGGCACTCAGTACCTCGAAGTGGAATGGATTGTATGAATGTAGCTCTCTTTGACATGTTGCACTTATATATATATATATATTTTTTTTTTTCTTTTTTTTTTTTGAGGCGGAGTTTCACTGTTGTTACCCAGGCTGGAGTGCAATGGCACGATCTCGGCTCACCGCAACCTCCACCTCCTGGGTTCAAGCAATTCTCCTGCCTCAGCCTCCCGAGTAGCTGGGACTACAGGCACGAGCCATCATGCCCAGCTAATTTTTGTATTTTTAGTAGAGACGGGGTTTCACCTTGTTGACCAGGATGGTCTCAATCTCTTGACCTCATGGTCCACCCGCCTCGGCCTCCCAAAGTGCTGGGATTATATGCGTGAGCCACCGTGCCCAGCTAGATTTTATTTTTGAGCCAGGCATGGTGGCTCACACCTGTAACCCCAGAGCTTTGGGAGGTTCTAGTGGGATGATTGCTTGAGGCCAGGAGTTTGAGACCAGCCTGGGCAACATAGAGAGTCTCTGTCTCTACAAAAAATAATTTTTAAAAAATTAGTAAGGCACCTGTAGTCCCAGCTACTCAGGAGGCCGAGGCAAGAGGATCACTTGAGCTCAGGAGGTTGAGGCTGCAGTGAGCTATGATCATTTCACTACACTTCAGCCTGGGCAACCTTGTCCCTGAAAAAGACACAAATCAGGCTGGGCGTGGTGGCTCATGCCTGTAATCCCCACGTTTTGGTTTTGGGAGGCCGAGGTGGGAAGATGACCAGAGGTCAGGAGTTCGAGACCAGCCTGACCAACAAGGAGAAACCCAGTCTCTACTAAAAAGTACAAAATTAGCTGGGCATAGTAGCACACGCCTGTAGTCCCAGCTACTCAGGAGGCTGAGGCAGGAGAATCACTGAACGCAGGAGGCGGAGGTTGCAGTGAGCCGAGATTGAGCCATTGCACTCCAGCCTGGGCAATAAGAGCGAAACTCCATCTCAAAAAAGAAAAAACAGACACAAATCATCGTCATAATTGTGGTTTTAACAGCTGCATGATATTCCACAGAGCCGATGGAATAACCTGCTCAGTTCAGGGCATATGGCTGGAAGTCCACCATGTGCCAGGTGCTATTTGGGGTACCAGGAGCCAGAAGTGACTCAGGCCCTGCTGCATCTCGCTCTGGCAAAGCTGGAACTCCAGGATGGGGGCTGGGCACCTAGACAGTTATGGCTTAGCAAGATCTTGCTGAAACAGGCATTATCTCGTGACCCCAAGACACAGGGCCAAGTCGATGTTGACATCAGCTTCCCCAGGGAGGTGGCTCCTGACCTGGGTCTCAGAGGGTCAGAAGGAGTGTTCCGCACACACAGCAGAAGCTCACAGGTGCTCTGATGTGAAAGAGTCTTGGCTTTGAGGCTCAGGAATTCTTGGTTGGAGGGGCCATGGTGGAAGATGAGGTGGCAAGTGTTAGCCAGGCCAGGTGTGCAGGGTCTTAGACAAACTTGGAGGGCCTGGACTTCATCTGGGAAGGAGTAGGGCACCATAAGGCAGTGTCATTCCAGGAAGGAGACAGTGGTCTGAGAGTCAGAAAGATCGCTGTTCCGTCAACAATCCCTTGCCAAGCCCCGGGGAGCTGTGGGCTCTAGGAGGACACAGGTGACTGGTAAAGGCAGTGTGGCCTGGGCCCGGAGGACTGAGCTAGTCCCTGCTGGGTACTCATGGGGGATGCGCCCAGCCGCAAGCGCAGCTCAAGTCACCCAGCGATGATTTGTAGGTTCAACCTTGAGCTCGCCAAGCCCCAGCTCCGCGGCTCCTGGGCGGCAGTAACCCACACAGCCTGGTGCGACGGACCCTACCACCAGGCAGCCAAGGTCACCCTGGCACAACCTGAAGCATCCTTGCCTCTCTGGCCACCATCAACCCTCTCTGGAGCCCATAAATCTGGGTTCTGCTCACCATCCTACAACTCACGAGCCATGGGCCCTGGCACCATCCCAGCTCTGCTGTGCCTACATTTCCTAATCTTAACGGGGCCATCCAGTGAGGTCCCAGGAGGAAAGCACTTTGTGTACTGTGAAGCGCTGTGACGATACCACTCCCCATCATTAGACCGTGGTCAGCTAAAGCTGTGCCATCCTGGGCTTCATTTGGGCCTGTTCTCAGCTGGGGGCAGGGAAGGAGGTGGCTTGACTCAAGAGGAACCGGGTCTTCCCTACTGGGAGGAGGTCCGTGGGCATCACCAGGGACCCTTAGCCCCAGGCTCTGTGCTAGGCATCCAGGCATGAAGCCATCCCGAGGCAGTGGTCAGGGGTTGGCACCAAGGCAAGAACAAAGAGCAGATGTTCAGAGGACACAACGCTGGCCTCAGCCTTCCCCACAGGCCCCAGCCTGGCATCACCTCCACGGAGGGGTGGACTCCCAGCCCAGGGCCCCAGTGATGCCCCAGTGTGCTCTGGGATGTTGGCACAAATGCATGGACATGTCTGTGGGTAGGCAGGCTGTGTGTGCCACTTTAGGGACACCTGGCTAGCACACCAGCTCTCCTCGGAAAGCTCCAGCAGCAGCCGGGCATGGTAGGTCATACCTGTAACCCCAGCACTTTGGGAGGCTGAGGTGGGTAGATCATGAGGTCAAGAGATTGAGACCATCCCGGCCAACATGGCGAAACCCTGTCTCTACTAGAAATACAAAAATTAGCCAGGTGTGGTGGCACGCACCTGCAATCTCAGCTACTTGGGAGGCTGAGGCAGGAGAATCACTTGAACGCAGGAGGCAGAGGTTGCAGTGAGCTGAGAATGCACCACTGCACTCTAGCCTGGGCAACAAGAATGAAACTCTGTCTCAAAAGAAAAGAAGAGAAAGTTCTAGCAGCTTCTCGGATCCAACTTCTAACTCCTGCCATTATACACAACACGGAAGGCTGGGGCTTCTTCCTTTTAAACACAAGGTCCAGGACTGGGAGGGTGGGCCCTGGCGCAGAGCTTCTGGGAGAGCCAGAGAGCAAGACCTCCAGCCCAGGAGGAAGGTCCCAGAGAAGGTTCCCCAAGGAGTGGGCACAGAAGGGACAAAGCCAGGAAAGGGGACGTCAGCACCCCTAGGGCTGGTGTTGGGAGCAGGGAGGGGTGCAAGGAAGATCAGGTCACTGGCCCTGGGAAGGCTGCAGCCAGGACAGGAGCACCCCCTCCAGCCCTGCACCAGTGCCTGCCTCCATCCTTGGCCTCACCCCTACCCTCAGCACACTCCTGCCCCCAGGCCCTGAAACAGGGGTCTTCCCTGCATGCTTCTGCCTCTCCAGCCCTAACCAACTCCTCCTCACCAGCCAGGGCTTGGCCAACCTGTCATCAGAGAGCCTCCCTAAGCCCCACATCCCCACCCACCTTTTTTTTTTTTTTTTTTTTTTTTAAGATATAGGATCGGCTGGGTACGGTGGCTCACCCCTGTAATCCCAGCACTTCGGGAGGCCAAGACAGGCAGATCACCTGAGGTCAGGAGTTCAAGACCAGCCTGACCAACAT